TTGGGGAACCTAGCTGTCATCTTCACACTTGCAGAGGAAGGGTTTTTACCTCCTGAGCCATCTCCCCAGCCCTATTTTTAGTTTAATGAGGAAACTGTAATAATGTCTACAGTGGCTAGACAAATTTACATCGTATCATCAGTTCTTGAGTGCTCTCTTTCTCCTACACCCTCACCAGTATTTGTCATTACCCTTTTTTCTTAATGATGTCTAATCTGAATGTTCATCAGGAAGACTGGTATATAATTCCCCCCTGTATCTTAAGATAGCTTGACTATCAATGTAATACTTGGTTTGTAAAATGGAGCTTATTAGTATTCCATGCTTTTTTGTCATTTGAAATAATTTAAGGAACACTGATGTAATTTCTTTAAGGATTTTATACAATTTAGCACTGGATTCATCAGGATTTTGTAATTTTTGTATTATTATTGTTTCAATCTCACTGCTTATTATAGATCTGTTTAAGTTGTTTAGATTCTCATGGTTTAAATTGAATAAGTCTGACCTGTCTAGATTTTTATCTCTTTCCATGTAAGAAAGATTCTGAAGAACAATCCTCAGCTCTTATTATGGGTTCTCAGAAAGGGCAATGGAAGGAGGAACATTAGCCTTACTAAGGATGCAGTGGGCCCTTCTCAAATGGCTATCCATTGCTCCAGTCCAGTAGCCACAAGAAAGGAGGGTTCTCCAAACACGTGTATTGTATGTGGACTCTAGGGTCCTGTACTGGTTAGAATGCAAATCTGTTCAGTAATGAGAACCACGTTAATTTTATTTTCTGAGTTTCTCTTAGCTCTTTTGTAGGTTTTCACTTTTAGCTCTACCAAGAATGTTTTCTTCCTTTGTTTGCTATGCCAAACAGCCCCCACCTTCAATCTTTCAGTCTAAATTTCTCATTTTGAAAACTGCAGGGTATATTTGTGAGGCTCTCTTTTTCTCTAGCCTCGGTTCTCAACTTCTGCAATGAGATTCTGTACATTGAACTAAGAGGACTCTCGCTGTCTGTCTCTCCTGAAACTTCAGTGCCTTCCTATTATCCTTATTATCAGCAATCTCAGAAGGTATCTGTTAGTCCTCTTCATTTATTTTCATTTTATCTCAAGACTCCAGTGTTGTTCTCAATTTTCTTCCTCCTAATGGTTTTGAAAGATATTGAACTAGTCAAGTATTCTGTTCTCAAATATTCTTTTTTTTCCTTACGGCATGCTATAGTTTCAAATAAGCTTATTTATATTATGCAAATACTCAGACTGGCCATAATAATTTTCAATTTCCATTTTATATCTGTATCCATGTTAGTGAACTTGTAATGATCTCTCTTTTCTCACATATTAGTATTGTTAATTTGTGTTTTTTGATTTTCTTCTTGGTTAATTAAGGTTTTCAGTGTTTAATTTTTGTCACATGCACAACTTTATTCTGTTTTTTGCTATAAGTTAAAAAAAGAAATTGTTGTTTCTATTTATTTACTTTTAATTATTTTTCTGTTTAGAAACTTAGTTGAAATTTTATTAATTTGCAGGCTTATGTTAATGAGTGGAATTGAGAAAGCAAGGTTGGGGCAGTTTTCTTCCTCTGTTTCATTTAACAAACCATATGCTTGTTAGCACTGTGTTTCTTCAATTTGTTATGGAATTACATTTTAAAAAGTGTTCTGAGCTGTATAATCCCCCCAAATTAAACATACCTATTTATTACAAGTAATCATAAAAGAAAAACACTTAAGACAGACATGTATCTATACATGAAACTTTGGACGTACTAACTTCAACCCAACATTTATCCAGTATGTGTTTATATATGAGATAATTTGGGGGGAATGGATTGATCTGGTATAGTTAAATCTTCAGTCCTAAATTTTGAATCCTTATCATCCTCTAGGAATACAGTTTAATATCATTCGGCATTTTTTGTGTATGTTATTTCTTTTTGGATTTTGTACCAGGAATTTTTGTATTTCTGCTGATAGTTACATAATATTATCCTATGGACATTATAAGTTATGAGATAGGCATGGGTCTCCTCACACTGACTGCTGTACTATGTTGAGTTGGTGCTGAAACACACTGGAATCACAAAGCTGATTTTTATGTACAGTTTTACAATCACATGAGTCTATCACATGATTCCATAATTTTCTCCTACTTTCCTATTTTAATAGGCTATCTAGTTATATTTAGACACAATTATCACAACATCTTTAGTAATAATAGGTTAAGGTTAACAAACAATATATTTGAAATATACTCAGTTAAACAATCCAGTGAGTTCCATTCATGCAGATTGAACCAAATACAGTTTACTGACTGAAATAACCGGGGTGTCTGTCCTCTAACTGTTTTGGGTTGTCAGAACTCATATAAACTCTGCAGTGAGCAGCTGGATTAACTAATGGGCCATTCTCTTTTGTCTCCCAATATTCTGAGATCTATAATAAAATCTTCAGTATCTCTAGTTCTCTCCCTTGCAACTTTATGTCAGCAAAAATTTCATTACAGGGAATTATAATATTTGAGCAATTGTATGAACATTTCAATGAAAACTTTTTTAATATTAATTTTTAATGTTTTTTCATTTTATATGCCAATCACAGTTTCCCCTCCCTCCCCTTCTCCCACCTTTCTCACCTCCTCTAATCCCACCCCCCATCCACTCCTCAGAGAGGGTAAGGCCTCCCTTGTGGGCTCAACAAAGTCTGACATACTAAGCTGAGGCAGATTTTTAATTAATGCTTCAGACAGAACAAAGTTTTAAAACAAAGCTGAATAATGCTATTTCTATACAAAGTATTCTCTTTTTTTAAAAAAAAAAAAACTTTTTTGATAGCTAACCTCTCTGATAGTGGTCATACCTTAGAACATAAATGTACATAATGAGCTAAAAATTTAAACTAATGCAAACCAATCATCATGTTGTTATTTTATTATGGTATTACTTAATAGTTTACTCATCTTTTAGCTTGGGAAACAAAGAAATACGATTTCTTTCTTTCTAAGGGGTGAGAGCAGAAAGAGACCCATTTGAATGAATCCTTTTCCTTCATAACACCTTATATCCCTTTATATGGATAAGACAATTTTAATTCAGTTCTTCTAACATTTGTTTTAGAAACTTAGAAACTATCAAGCCAACTTAAGTTTTTATCAGAATTTCCTATATGATTTGTTGCTTTATTAATTTTAAAAGTAAAAATAGCTTTTAATAATAAAAATATTTTTAATATTTATGATTAATAGGCTTCATTACAGAACATGTATGTAAAATTTAGGAACAATATGTTCTTCTGTCCCTGATGGAGGATATTGTAACCCCACCTTTTAAAACGTGTAGAAACTTAAAGCACATGTTGGTTTTAAATCTAGTCTGAAATGATCCAGAAGCATAATTACAAAAATGTATAATGGAAAATACATATTCTGGACCTACCATACACTCAATATATCTTAGATAATTTAAGAGGAGATTTTTGTTTGTGTTCATGTGACTGAGTAGAGTCCAGGTAAGAAAATAGCGTTTATCAGCTTTTAAGCAAGAACTTTCCAAGATGAGAAGTCACACTGATCCCACCCAAGTGAAATAGTACACCTTTAAGAAGTAGTTTTGGCCAGGTAACCAAATTGATGATGATGGAGCTTCTGGATGGAGCTGTGTAAATAGGAAGTGCCCATTTATTTCCTTGTTTCATAACCCTCCATATATCCTATTCTAATTCAATAATGACTAATGAAATTATTTGGGTCTATGAAAATGAATTATTTTAAATCTATAATTTCTCTTCATATCAATGTAATATGAGCCAAATGACAAAGCTTGATGGGAAAAAATTAAGATTTATAGGACTGTAATTTAAGGGTTTTGGCTGGATTCCATGCCTTTACATGTCTATCTTTAAGTCCGAGTTTAGTTGACTGATTATAGTACTTTGAAAAGAGATTACAGGTAAGAATTAAGCAGTAATTTTAAAAGGCTGAGTCAGTAATGCTATCAGAATGATCTGGTTATTCAGTAAAAATCCACCCAAATTAGTGTCTACTTTATGGTGAACTCTAGAAGCAGTACAGGAATTTCCATTGTAACCAATTCTCAGGTGAGGCTAAGTACAGTAAAATTTGAGAGACGTTTTCATAATTAGACAACTTATAGAGTACTAGAGCATTATATAATCATACATTACATGTCCTTTTTACATGAAATAAACTTCAGTAAATAAAATCACGTTTTCAAAAAGAAATGTTTTACTTTCGTCATCACTACGTACATCGTTGGAGAGTTTCCCTTGGTGTAAAGACAAATCCTTAAAGTTAAAAATGTTTCTGGTTTTTCTTTTCTAAAAAAAGAATATATTTTCACAGAAGGGCATAACATATTTTGAAAAAAATCAGTACACAGAATGGCTTGTTGAATTTGTAAATAATAAGTTTATCTTTTCAAAATGTTCAGTTTTCAGAAAAAGGGACAGACTTGGAAGTAATGCTACAATGAGATGACATTCTGAACAGGACTGGTAACTGAAGCCATCACCAGGGTTTTCTCTCTGGTCTCTTAGTCTAGGCTTCCTCTGAACCTTTCTGATCAGTTTGCCCTATATGGTGGATAACTTCTATTCAGTTCACAATGTATTCTCAAATGGTCTCAAAAATATATAACTCAATTATTTTAAAGAGCAACATGATGTATAATCTAATGTTCTTCACTTATTATAGCTTGTAAGGAATCCTACCTGAAGCCACTTTTAAACTTCCAATAAAATTACCTACAGATATACATCACACAGAAGATTGTATTTTAAGATGTAACCAAATCATCTCTATTCTTTTTAATGAAAATTAGAATGTATGCATGAGAAAGTGAAAGTAGAACAAGACAAGAAAAAAATCAATTTTATACAAAGAAATCCAAACCTACTTTTCACCTGACTTCTATCTTCAGATGATTGTGCTCACGTATGCATTTACATGGCTTCTGGTGAATACACAGAAATAAATCTGACAATCGGATTTCACACAGCAGACATTGAAGATTTATTGAATGTGCTTATGCTTTTCTCTATTGTTTTCACAATATCTCTTACATGATAGTGATCCCATGTACTACATGTACAAAAACATAAGGACAAATAGAACAGTTAAAATGGAGTACTTCTGACACTTATAAGTGGATGGTTGAGGCATAGCTTGTTTAGAAATCTAGAATGAATTCTTGCTCTTTTCGGTGCATTTCCAACCCTAAAGAATGATCTGGCAATTGTACCTTCAAAGTAAACTTGTCTATACTGTTGGCTTAGTATGACCAAATAATTCTGCATCATGGTTATTGAGGCTGTCTTCTTATTTGACTCAACTCATTCTTCTTTGCTCTATGCATTTCTCTTGGTTGCATGAGATACTTTCAAATCTTCTATCAATGAGCTCCCCAGACCTGTGAGAGGTGACAGATGAATGATCACATTGTTACATTTAGAAACACCAGAGTTTCAGTGTCCTGCAGTTTTACAAACAAGATGTGCTAAACCAAATTTGGAAAACAATTCAGTGTGATGGTGACACTGTCTAACATTCCTGGGTAAGAAAGGAGTGGAGAATGATTTGTTTTCTGCTGCCAAAGAGATAGTGCTGAATAATAATAATAATAATAATAATAATAATAATAATAATGTGGGATCTATGCTCTCTCTCTATTCCCACAAGAACTGTTACACCACAGAGATTTAAAAGACATTATATCTTTTAGTTCAGCTTTACTAAATTATGGTTGTTTTGTTTTGATTTAGGACAATGTCTCAATTAGCTTAGGCTGGACTTGAACTCACTAGTATCTGAATATGATCTACAGCTCCTAGTACTCCTTCCTTCATCTCCCAAGTGCTAGGATTATAGGAGTATACCACTGCACTCAGATCCATGCTATCTTCTTATAGTTTTTTTTTTTTTTTTTTTTTTTTTTTTTTTTTTTTTTTTTTT